TATCTATTCTATAACATGTTTAAACTCTGAGATCAAAGAATGGGAGAAAAAGAAAGAATTAGGATTCATAAATTGCCTCCCTTTTTCCAAATATTAAATTAAATATTATTACCCTTATTAGATATTTAAATAAGGATATTATAATGGCAGATATGATTTTTAAAACATTTAGGTGGAATAGTGTAGTTCAAATTGATCTGAAGTCCAATTTTCTTCAACCTAGCATTTTCCTGCAAATGTAGGGTCTGCTTTTTAGATTAATGAACACCATTGCATGTGATCAAATGCAGCAACCCGGTTCAATGGGGTGATATTAATATCTGTATTGTGTCTTGCTACTTTCGCTTTGGTGTTCCATGTGGGTATTTGCCATCAATGTTGAAAAGGTAGGCAGTGCAAGCAACAGTGTGGAGTACTGCTTGTAAAATGTGGCCATACCATGGTAGGTGCAATGCTCCAAACATATGTTGAGTTTTGAACAATAGAAATACTTTTAATTTTAAGGATCAAAGCAGTATTTTAGATCTAGTATATGTAAGACTCTGAAATGCTTTTGTTTTATAGCATAGGGTTTTCCCAATCCTGATTTTAAAGTAAAATTTTATATTAATTAAATAAAAGGAATTATTTTGCCATGAATAGAGTAAAAGCAAAGAATAGAAAAGTAATAGAATTTTAGGAAGAAGTGATACTTACATTATGTAGGATATCTACCAAGCAATAATAAAAAATAATTGTTGCTATGACATACTTTTAAAATCTTTCAACCATAATTTTCTTTAACTGATGCCAATCTTTTGCAATAATTGCTCAATAATATCTCAATCCACCTAGATCCATGATGGCGAACCTATGGCACACATGCCGGAAGTGGCAAACAAAGCCATTTCCCCCAGCACGTGAGAGCTCGCCTGGAAGAGCCCCACTGTGCATGCGTGCCGCTGCCGCCCGATAGCTGATTGTCAGATATCTGGTACGCATGCACGCAGGGGTGGTGGTGGTGCGTGGTGCACAGGAGACACGTGTGCATGCGCAGAGACACGCAGCTCATGCTGGGGGTTATGTGCACATGCGCAGGGGGGGTGGGGGGGCAGCACACATTGTCTTCTGGGTGCCGGCACATGAGCGCACGAGCACGTGTGCAATTATTGGCACGGGAGCCAAAAAAGGTTTGCCACCACTGACCTAGATAAATATGCATAGTATAGTAGCTTCTTAAACCTGGTTTTGTAGCTATTTATCAACATTGATTCACATAATAAATGATTAAAATTACTAATTTATTTATTTACAGGTAGTCCTGTACTTACAACAGTTCACTTAGTGACCATTCAAAGTTACAGTGGCACTGAAAAAAGTGACTTATGACCATTTTTCACACTTATCACTGTTGCAGCATCCCCATGGCCATGTGATTTACATTTGGATGCTTGACAACTGACTCACATTTATGACGGTTGCAGTGTCTCGGCATCATGTGATCCCCTTTTGTGACCTTTCTGACAAGCAAAGTCGATGGGAAAGCCAGGCTCACTTAACAACCCTATGAGTAATTTAACAAAACTGATTCAGTTAACAAATATGGCAAGGAAAGTTGTAAAATGGGGCAAAACTCACTTGACAAATTTCTCACATAGCAACATAAATTTGGGGCTGAATTGTGGTCGTAAGTTGAGGACTACCTGTATTTGCCTGCTTTTTATTTGTTAGATCTATATCGTTTTTCCACTCCGGGGACTCAAAGCAATTTCACATGGAATTCTATTTTATACAAGCAGTAACACTTTGATGTGGATTAAGTAAACAGAGGGTGATTGGTGCCAGCTTGCTGATGTAAAAGTATTCAGTTCAAATTGTAATTAAATTATATCATTAGTAGGATCTCAGATAATCATATCAGCTACAAATAAGTTTAATCCATAAGTTCTATTTTTATACTGTTCTTGGACCTTCCTCCCAATACTTTGATAAAGAGATTGAACTAAACTGGAAAAAAATAGGAAAGTGAGTATTGTATGATTCCACTGATGATGTTAAAGATTTCTCTGGAGAAAATAAAAGAAGCTGGTTTTTTTTTTAAAGCTTTAAGATAGTCTTGCTATAAAACCAGTTTTTGCCCAATGGGTCTACATATTTATGTCCCAGATTTTTTTATTGGCATCATTTTGTCTCAGCAAGAATTCTATGGATGTTTCTAAACTTTGCAAGGCCTCTAGATGGCGACTTTTATATGATGCTTCTCTGGAAGATGAAAGACTTGGAATTGTACCTACTATTAATTGTGGCAGGGAAATCTACCTTGGTTGAACTGCTATTGGAGCTAGATGGCAGCAAAGGTAAAAATAACTAAACAAAGTTTAATATTGAATATTTTAATATTTTGTATCTTAGTTTTTATGTTTGTAAGCCACCCAGAGTCAAATGACAGTGAGATTAGGGGCATGTAAATTTAATATTTTTTTCTGCCATTTGAGTGGTGCTATGGTAAATTTTAGCAGTTTAGATCTGGTATTTGGTTTTATTTCACAACAAAACACTTATCTTTATGCAGTAGAAAACTCCTTATCTGTAATTTATCAGGAGACTGGTAGAATCTTTTCTGCCTAATTTTATTAAAAGGTATATGGTTTTGCGAGCTACAGTTTCACTTTATCAATTAAATGGAGTGGCTGTATCACTTGTAACTGAACATTAAAGTAAATTGTGGTAGAGTAGAAATGTGGAAGAGGGAGGAAGGAGAGAATCCTTCTTTCCTATAATTAATTAAGGGAATACCTAATTAATTAATTAAAAACTGTGGCAAGAAAGGTCGTAAAAATGGGGCAAAACTCACAACTGCCTCGCTTACCAGCATACATTTTTGGGCTCAGTTATGGCCGTAAGTCAAGGATTGTATAAGTTAACCTTCCTTGACATAACCGAAGCTTCCCAAATAATTAAAACCCTGCAGTACAGTACTGTACGAAGAAGGCGGGGCCAACCACTAGGGGATGCTACTCCACCACGGACAACACTGAATGGTAAAATAATGAACGTTCACCTCAGCCTATGAACCGCGCTTTGGTTTCCAGAGGCAGCCAATGAAAAGCAGCAGGTTAAGCCCTTATCTAGCCAATCGGCTCTTTTTTTCCGGAGGGGATGTGGGAAGTATAAGCTCTACCTTTTCCTTTCCACGGTCGTTAATCTCATCCCTGCAATAGCGGAGTTTGGTTGAGTCAGGCGATGCTTCGGTGCCTTTAACGATGCAACGCGGAGCTTCCTCCGGGCCGGGTGGACCTGGATTGTGACGCGGGTTGAGTGTTGCAACCTTCTAGATTCTAGAAATTGTCCCTTAACGAGCAAGGAAGGAGGAGCTTTCGGTTCGTGGTGGCGGCTACGCTGGGGTTCTGGGAGCCCCGTCTCCTGCTTCCACCGGCCCCTCTGCCAGCCCTACAAACTTTCAGCCATGCTGACCAAAGGATGAATTTGGGGGATCACGACCTGCTGTCTGCGCGGGAGCAGTTATTCCACGAGAGGGTCCGCGAGTGTATTGTGAGTACGCTGGTTGTTAACGATAACGCAAATTGGAGTTTCCTCCGCTCCCCCCCCCCCCTGGTTTCTTCCATATGACTAGAATTTTAGCCTCGTTATTCCCAGTCATCAGAGACTTGTAGTCCAACACATTTGAAAAAGGGGAATGATTTGTATATTTCTCCCCCCCCCCTTAATGAAGACAAAAATATATATAAATCGACTAGATTAGCTATGGGGGATGATGGTTTTGTCAAGGAGAGAGGAAGTGCTAAGGAATTTAGTGCTTAAGAGCAGTAAATGCCATCGGCCCTCTTGATTGGTAAAATTTGCATTCTTCTGTGTTCTTTAATCCAAGGTAATTGAAGAGGAATTAGGGGGGTGGAAACAAGCCATAGTTGAGAATGAACTGGAGTTGCTTGCTGCCCGAGACAGCCAATCTGTATGTTTACAACTTGGTACTTCCAGATACAATTATTTTGGACTGCACACATTGGCTATGTTTATGCATTAAATCATGGTTGCCAAACCCAAAAAGTCATATCACTAATACCGTGTGAATCAGGTCTTCATGTTGTGCCATTGTTTTTTGGCTAAGTTTGTAGTGTGAATATTAACCTTGGTTTAATGTTTAGCATTAAGATTCCTGCTAGGTGCCAATTTGCGGAAACCTTTTTTAAAATGTCAATTTCTATTGTTCAGCCTTTCTTCAACAACTTGGCAATAAGTTCATTGCTAGTAATGAAAAGAGTAATTAAAAGATATGATTATGTGGCTCTTTTCAGCTCCATTGCACAAACTGTCTCTCTTTAAAATGTTATTTTCCCCGTTTCATACTACCCTGTTTCTCCAACAATACGGCCTCCCCCAATAGGAAGTCCCAGCATGTTTTATAGGCATGAAATGAAATTAAGCCCCTCCCCCCAAATTAAGGCCTATATTAAAACATGTGAAATGGTGGGGAATGGTGGGGGGGCTTGCTGTTAGGAAGTACTTTTGTTGCACACCCGGATATGGTGCTGCCTGCGTTGACCCCGATACGAAGTGCCCCACCAACGCCGAGGTCAACATCCAAGCCGTCGCCGCCCGCCCTAAGATGCATGGGGGGGGGGGGAATTAAGTCACCCCCGAAAAGACGGCCTAGCCGTTTTTTCGGGGCTCAAAAAAAAAATAAGACTTGGCCTTATTATATGAGAAACACGGTATTTTCAGTTGGAAGGAAGGCAGCCACAGCCAGTTTGGTCTAGTGGTGAAGATACCAGGCTAGAAAGCAGGAGACCTTGAGTTCTAGTCCTGCTTTAGGCATGAAAACTTTGGGCCAGTCACGCTCTCTCAGCCCAATTCACCTCACAGGGTTGTTGTGGGGAAAATAGGAAGAGAAAGATGTGTTGGAAATGTTTGCCCCTTGAGTTATTTGTAAAACTAATAAAGATGGTCCTCGACTTACAACAGTTTGCTTAGTGACTACAGAGGCAGAAGTTACAGTGGCACTGAAAAAAGTGACTTACAGCCATTTTTCACACTTATAACCATTGCAGCATCCCCATGGTCACATGATTTATATTCGGATGCTTGACAACTGACTCACATTTATGACGGTTGCAGCGTCCCAGGGTCATGTGATCAACTTTTGCAGCATTCTGACAAGCGAAGTCAATGGGAAAGCCAGATTCACTTAACAACCATGTTTAACAACTGCAGTGATTCACTTAATAAATGTGGCAAGAAAACTCATAAAATCGGGCAAAATTCATTTAACAATTTTCTCACTTAGCAACATAAACTGTTGGGCTCAATTGTGGTTGTAAGTTGAGGACTATCTGCAAGAAATATATAAGACAGACCCTTATGGAATGTCCAGCTTTGCCAATCTGCAGTTGCCATGCAACCTGAATGCCGGTGGATTTCTTGTCCAATAAATGTGGATGGAATGCATGTTTATATATAGGTACAGGATATTATCAGATATATGTGAATGAGTGTGTTTAAAACTAATGATTAATATCACCTACAAAGTAAAGTCATTTCTGTCTACCAATTTCCCACACAGAAGTCCACAAGTAATCCCCTTTCATTGAGATTACATGTACTGATAAAGGAGAATATTTGTAGTTCGTGGTTGAAATAAGGGATCCTTGGTGCTCTCTAAACTTGGTTGTTTTCTTGCAAATATTTCATTACCCAAACTAGGTAACATCATCAGTGCTTATATGTGCACCTGAGAATGAAATGTTCTAGAGGACTCTGGAATGTTCCATTGCTCCTCTGGGCCACACAGCCTTAGCCCCTACAGGAAGGGGGTGGCCTGGAAGTTTTCAGAAATGAATTATCTGGAGTGGATGTAATTTGGATTCCTGAGGCTGGTTTCAGGAACTGGGCCATATCTAAAATGCCACAAACCCCTTTTGGCTCAACAGATTAACTTCCAGACAACAAGCAGAGCATTTCCAAAATGGCAGAATCAGCCCAGTCCCTAGGAATGGGAGAGCAGGACGCATTGCACATCTCCACCTCTCTCTTTCTGGCAGAAGCGTTTTAAAAAGAAGAGAGGAAAATAAGATAGAGAGGGGTTGAGGGAAAGATAGGGCTGGGAAAGAGAGAAACCTTACTTAGAATCTGGAAAAATGAAATTCTGGGGGCAAGCAACCCCTCCATTCCTCCCACTCTTCAGTGGCAATTTAGTGAAATAATTTTTATCAGCAGCATGAAGTATATGAAGTAATAAATATGTTAAGAAAATTAATAATGATTGGATTCAGGTGCAGAATCCTTGGAGGTTGAGAAAGATTTTGGGGCTGGGACTTTTGGCCTTTAGATTTTTAAAAAGTAAATACAATATTTTTGTGTCTTCCAAATGCATGAGACGCTTCATTAAAATGTATACAAATCTAGTGAGACTTTTGCCTTGGGGAGTTCACTGTTCTGTTTTATATTTGCAAATCTGTTAGATGTGAGGAGCTGTACATACCGGTATTATTTTGAAAGTGCACCTGGCAGTTTAATTCTGCTTGCTTCATAAATGTCATTCAAAATTAAAAAATTGCAATGCCCAGAGAGTTGAAATAAGTAATTATGAAGTTTTGAATGAAAATAAATTCAAATGTTTAGATACCTGTTGTCAGGTGGTTCCCAAAAAGCAGAAAAGCTCTGACTTACATGTATATTAATGTGACTTATTAAAGTCATGCATTGCTTCATTTCAGGCTATGTTGATTCTACACATACTGCATGGTATATGGCTTTCTAGAGAAAACAGCAGCTTAATCTTTGTGCCTGCTAAAACTGAGTTTCTGGGCCACTTAGTGGGGATTATTGCTATTCTGTTAAAATAATGGTGAGCTGAACAAAGGCAAGTTTTTTCTTGCCTGTTTTTCCCAATTACGGTATGTGATACTTCCTCTACTACTCATTTAGCTGTCAACTTACAAAGCACATTATGTTGCCATACACCATCCTGTGTTTAACTTCCATGAAAACCTGAGTGTAGAATTTTGACTTAGGGTGTAGTGAGAATCCAGCCAATTGTGGTTTATTAAGCAATTGATTCAGTTGTTATTTCTCCCCTCTTGATCCAATGTCATGTTTATGGACCAGAGCATTCACTGGTACGTGCAAATAACTCTATTTTGATATCAAAAGTCCATGCAGTTAAGTTAGATTTCAGAGAGAGATCCGTTGCATCTTTATTTGTAGGTCTTTTTCTGTCCAAAGCAACCATTCTCAAAGCTCAGCATGATCTAAACAGGTTGTGAGAACCTTGTCAACTTTGATTGGGAGGAGGGGAAGGGGGGAATTAGCTTTCCCAGCGTGGCTTTGTGTGCCAAAGGTTAGTCCAGAGTTCCATCTCTGTAGTCAACACATTAGTAGGCATTAGCAGTTGTGTAACGTCTACATATGCTTAGCAGGCAATATATAGTACTTGGAGTTATGCAAGATATTTAGTCCACGGTGCCCAGTTGGCATGCATAATGAGTTTTCTGGGTATTATGTTAACCTCGGAGAAATATTAAATCGCTGTCATATATGACATGGGAGCATTGAGAATTTAAGAACAGAAATTCCCCTCTTGATCAAGTTCCACCTGGTCCAGTATCTGTTTTTTCAAGATCAAGTACTGTAAATGATTCTGAGAATCACATATGATTCTGTGGTGTCTGTCACTTCCCCAGTTGTTGCCATTTCGCCCAGCAATGATATTCAGTACTACCCGTTCTGATCCTGGAACTGTTTACTATCCTGACTAATGAAATTTATAGATTAATATTCCATGCATATCTAGTTTCTGAAAATTATGTTCTTTGGGAGCTATTATCTGACTTGTGGAAATTAATTCCATCAATAACGTGTACTTCTGAATTATCTTCCAGCTGACTTCATTGGTCCTGAGATCATTTGTTTTGGAAAGAAAAGATAAACTTTTAGAAATAATCCATCATGTAACCTTTTATTGGCTAGGTTGATGCCCTGTGCTAAGTAATGATTTCTTTTATGTTTAGCTTGTTTTAAAGGGCACAACTGGATAGTCATAGTTTGAAAAGGCACATTAAGCTATAGATTAAAGTTTATAAACTGAAGGGACTAAATTTAGACACTCTACTAAGACCAAAAACCACATAACCCACAAACAGAAATGGCTTATTTGGATGTGTGCATCTTGCCATCTTTGTCATACAAACTAAAAAAATCTGCAGAGATGTATGCTTTTTGAAATAGGGGGAAATGTAGCAATTTGTAGATGATTTTGGTGAAATTGAGCATCTAGAACTGAATACCATGGCTAACAACTTTCAAGATCTATAATCTGACTATTACTAGATAGGAACTTCTTATTTTAATCAAGAAACATATTCACTACTGCTAACTTTAAACACATTATCTTTCTTAAGACTCCTGTTCTTTTTGGAGGCTGTTCGTAGCAGATAGCATCTTTTACAAAAATAATTAAAATAATCTACAGCATATGCAGACCAGCATATAGCCCATAACAAAAATGTTTAATATTTTACATATAATATTAAATT